GAGTAAGTCCGACAAACAGGACGGTACACAGGCGCACGTGTCCATTCGAAAATAATGCGATAAAATAACAACGTTATTTAGTTTCACGAAATAGAATAGGTTTAATATTGACGAGAAAACAATACAAAAACAATGGAAGGAAGTTCTACAAAAGTTAAGAAGAGTCATAAAATAGCAGATGTTAAATTTGTAATTAGTTTTTTCACTTGTTCCTCCTAAATAATGTAAATAAATAAAGCTCGACTGTCGCTTATAGAGGTATAGATAAGTAGCAGTCTCACTTACGGAGGTCCATGAGGGAAATCGCTAATAGAGGTTTTGGGAGCTTAAAATGACGGTTCCTGGCTATTACTCTCACTTATAGAGTTTTCTCTCTTATCCAGTTCTCACTTACTCAGGTTTGACTGTATTTATATGTCAAAGAAAACAGCCTGATGAAAAATAAATGTTGTGTTGTAAGAATAGTTGTAAATATGTATACTAAAATGTAATTTTAACGATTTTCTGTTATTAATTATAATTTCTGTTATAAATTGTAAAAGTTTATTTTCTTTTTTTATGATATAGTCACTTTTTGTACTAAAATGGCTTAATAAACAATTGGTCATTGTTTAAATACCTACTTTATATAAAACTTAAATACGATGTTTACATTTAATGTACTCGACTATTGGACGGGTATATTAAAAATATATCGCGCATACGGTGCGATAACGTCACTTATGCAAATTATATAATTTTTCAGGAGAAACGTTGGAAAATTCAACGTCCTATTTTATTATAGTTCTTATAAAGTTCTGCTAGACCAGTGGTTATCAAACTTATTTCTTTTACCGCCCCCTTTGAAAATCAATTATATTTCAGAGCCCCCCTTTTTTTATACACCCCTAAAACTTAAGAACCACAATTTCATTACTTTAATTAATTTAGTTATATTAGTCGGTTCTGATGTTTAAACTAACATTCTAAACTAGACATTTTTACCAGTGAGTGCAAATAAAACCCAACTTTATAATATTAATAATATATTTTAATCAAATTAAAAGAAACAATATAAATATGTATTCAGTTTTCGTTTTTATACTAATCTAATGAGATGGATGAATTTGATGATATATAATAAGTTTGTTGATATCAGGTTCGATTTTACTCAAAAACAGTAGTAAGTCGCCGCGCTTGGTAACTTGCAAATGATTTCTCTTTTTAGTAAGCAGCGTTGTCACAGCGCTAAATCCACGTTTACATAAATATGACGATGGGAATCCTATCAAAAATCGTTCAACGATAGACCACAATCCAGGGTCCAACTGCGGACTTGACTTTTGTAGACAAAATTGTTGGTAGCCATTTTTTGTATTTGATTTTTTATTTCCTCGTTCGTTGTCAGTTTTTTAAGTTCTTCTTCCAACTAGGGTTATATTGCTATGTTGACATTTGAAAAAGGATCTAACACCCAGTCTGGTATTTCCAATTTCAAAATGTCCTGGAATTTTCAATGAAATCACTGTGAAGATTTTTCCAAATGTTGGCAGTAGACGAGCAAGTCGTCGTTGTTGCAGGATACTGATAAATTGGGAAATTATGGAACTCACGTCTGCCGATATTGTGTAGTAGGTGGGTTTTAATTTTAGTGAAATTTAAAATACTATATAAAGTAAATGAAATTACAAATTATACATCGCCCCCTAACCCACATCAACGCCCCCCATCCCACATCAACGCCCCCCATTTTTCTGAGCCCCTTAAGCCCTTCAACAAAGCCCCCAAGAGGGCGGTATCGCCTACTTTGAGAAAGACTGGACTAAAGAAATAAAAACGATAATATTTAAACTAAAACTTTAAAATTAATCAGTAAAAGCAAACATCTCACTGATAACTATTAAAAAATGTATTTTCTCATACTCAGTTCAGTTTTAACAACAATTTCTTAAGTGACTTTATATTATAGTACCGTATGTGCGATATACTACGTTATATATTGCGGGTATACATAAACCACCGCGAGATGACTGTCACAATCTTACGCGCATAATGGTTTAAGTCAATTTCATGTTACAAGCTTTGTCAAAATTTGCACAAGGTAAAGAGACAAACATAACGGTTTCTTCGTCTAGGACATGGATTTAGGTTTTGGAGCTTAGTATCGTCCTCGTAGTTTTACCCTCCATAGGCTAGAATAACACAATCGTAAAATATGTTGAGATGGGAACGGAAGATAGATATATATATGTATATGGCTTTGTAATAAATGTTAGTCTAACTCGTTTTGGACCTAAATCGTAATTGGTCGGTCAGTTTATTATTAAGCGTGCGGTTTGTACGCATTCACAGATATATTATGTATTATTATTATCCATGAAAGATGCTAGACTGTTAATTAGTGACTATTATTACACCTTTAAATTTCATCAAAAACTTATATTTGAAAAAAGCCTGACGTCGCAGTATGAGCTTGTCGTCGATTGGAAAGATATCTTGAGATTTTAAAATAAAATTACTTAGTTGGCAATAAATATTATAAGCTAATAATGAAATTAATAATATTTTACGTACACTAAATGCTTTTTAATGAAATCAGCATATAAACAATAAACTGAGCGAAATCTAATACTATTGGGTGTAAATCCTACCAGTACCACTTAATAATAATTATTATTGTATGTTAATAAATTATCTTCTTTTCTTCAGCGAAAAGTTGCCGTTCAAAATGTGAAAAGACTTATTTGTAGGGATATTTTGTTTCAGGGACTTGAAAATAAAGGTAAATAAGACAAACAAAATAAATTATCAACAATCTGTATTTTTCTCACCTTAGGTGGATCATCATTATTAAATAAAACTTTCTTTTCTCTTATATACACATTAAATCCGAATTTAGTCAGTGTATTTACAAATATATTAATTAAATATAATTTAGTAAAAATTAGAGAAGTTTAACATTACTACTTAAAATTAATTAATTACATCTTAGAACATCAACAACTTTCACTCAGGTGAAACACATAAAAAGAGTTAAACAGTAAATCACTACAAAATTCATAAAGAATTCGTTTAAATTTGTCAACGGTAGATGAACACCATATAATTTCGATAGTGATTGAAGGAAAATTCTAGTAAGCAGTACCAAAGTAGGTATGACAATATGTTGTGGCACATTAGACATTAGAGCCATCAACGCATTGAGAGTCAACAATTTTTAAAGAACTTTCATCGTCGGATCTCGGTGAGGCGAAGTACCGAAAGGCAATAAACAATGGGCCAGTCGAACTCCTAATAAGAACATCGTATCAATAACGATAAATCGATGCATCATTACGTAAAATGCGTAATTTTTAGTCTTTCCGTTTCAATTGTCACTCAATCGAATAACATGAATTCGCTTTATTAAAATCCTATCTACTCTAGCCTTCTCTATATAAGACTTCGTCTCATTTCGTCTACAGCAGTAAAAATTCTAAACTCGTATACCACTTGTACGTAGTCGTAGGTAATTTTATTGTGCGTACAGTATGTGGTATTGCGAGTAACATTCACCTGCCAGCTCATCTGTCATACATTTTCAACAAATAGATAGGCCCTATATCTTTGTACAAAATGTACTAAAACGGAAATATAGCTTCGAATATTTGTTTTTAAAACTAGTAGTTACTTTATGTATGAGAAGAGTTGGGCGGCTTGTTAATAGGGTGTGTATTTTATTGTCGGATATTTCGATCAGTGGTTTTTGAGAAGGTACGAGGTTTCAAAGGCCGCTTTTTCCAAAATAATGAATTCTACCACAATACGCGTAACTTTTAAACAGTGTATCGACCGTACAGCATACCACTAATTTTCTTAAGCATGATGAGTAAAATTTTAAATTACCTACCTATCAAAATATAGTAATCTGTTAATGGAGGAAATTCTTTATAAAAGTTCAATAATTGTCACAGTTCATTCATTTTGTATTAGGTACTTGATAAACGACAACATATAATAATGCAGCGCTGTCATGTCAAAGACGTTCAATAAATTATATTCACTCACATTTGTGTGCACGATCTTGTGATTTAATCACGACTAAGAATAATGATTTAATAAACAAAATGATCAGAAATATGTGACAATACATGCATTCAAAACAAGTGATTGCGTTCAAAACACACCACATAAAAATTGAGTTGCAAATCTTAATCTTAATCACAGTAACAGAAGTATTGAGAAATGAAAACTTACAACACTCTAACTATATCTATACAAAAACTTATGAGTATTATAAATAAGAGGTTTTCATATCTATAATTGAAAATTAATTAATAAAATGATTAAGAGATCATAATACAGCTCATTATTCTACATTTTCTAGATTAGTCTATAATACGCACTTTGTAAAAATATATGCCACTGGACACGTGACTGTAACTAGTGTAATCAACAGAGAGCAACGCAACAAAACAAGGGGAAAGCGAAAATAAAAAAGATTGTTAGCTATAAGTTAAAGGATATGTAAGTATGAAGCATATTTGAGCAAATTTAGTAACGAAATATATTGAGCAAGAAAGTCAATGACGGCCAGTTGTTGAAGAATTATTACAAGTATTGAATTCATAATTATACGAATAAAGTACACAATAGTCGATACTCTCATGTCTATATTACATTTCGACTAGAAATATCTTTAACGAAATAATAGTAGAATAATATATCACTTATTCAGCAGTCAGGTTATGCTTAGTTGGTACAAAATAATTAAATATGTAAATAAAATTTGCAGTGGCACATAATAAAGTTAAATTAATGGCACAGTTTCACGTTAGTTTCGTCAAAAATAAGATCAATAAATTAATCTAATTACCTACAATAAGTATAGTCCCAGTAAGATTTGTGCCTCCGCATAGTTATCGATTAATCTACAAACAAGATCGAAATCATTAATTTGTATTATAGTCTCGTTGGCTTTACACGATGTTTAACGTCACTCACCACTGACACAGACACTTGAAACGATGAACTAAATGAACTAATCAATATCTATGAGGGGTTGTCCGGACCTTTAGCCGCGGGACTTTACGCAAACTCGGATATGTTCGAGATACAGCAACAATTATAATGTAAAATCATTCACTTAATTCATTTTGAAGGACATACAATGCTTCACTAGAAAACGTGCAAATATTTTATATTCTGGACACTTTAGGCCATTTGTTCCCAGGTGAATTATTTCAATTATCCTAACTAATCAGATACGAGTAGGCAATCTCCTATCGTAGTATGTAACTACAAACATGTATAAAAAGTATAAATTTAATGTTTTTTTATCTGTAGAGTTAATAAAGCTTTTTCAGAGACAATTCATTAACATATATGCGATGAAATCCTCTAGTAAGTTCAATTCGAGTAAAAAGTTCAATCCGATGACGAAGAGGTGTCACTGCAATAATTGTACTCATGCGAAGGCCCGGGTACAGGCTCCGGCGTGGTCATCGTTGCAGAGGTCACCGTCGACGTCACAGGCGGATGCTAGAGCGGCGCGTGCGGATGAGGCTCGTGATGGTGAGCTGATCCGCCTCCGCCTCGCTCCCGCTTCAGGCGTTGTTTAAGGTGTACTTTTGCGTGCCTTTTCTTTTCATCGGAACGTGCGAATTTACGACCACAGACATCGCATGCGAATGGCTTTTCTCCAGTGTGTGTCCGTACGTGCGTTGTCAAATGATCTGATCGACTGAACGAGCGCATACAAATACGACATTGAAATGGTTTTTGACCTGTGTGAATACGAATGTGCCGTGTCAGTTCGTCTGATCGAGAAAACCTGCGATCGCACCCATCTACTGGACAGGCATAGGGGCGTTCGTGGACGGGCGTTTTGCTAGGGCGATTTGGATATTTGCGTGGTTTAACAGCAACGAGCCGAAGTGGCTGCGCACTTTGTTGATAAACTTGTGATAGGATCTCGTGACCTTTACTTGTGGATGGGTTATATTCTGCAAGCTGAACGGGCCTGTCGCTCGGAACAGCTGGGCTTGGATAGGGCTCGCGTTTTGGCAAACCGGAAGGCCCCGGAGTTGGTTGCGGTGCGCTCGCGTACTCTTGCGGTTCCCACGTGTGTTGTTGCTGCGACGGTTGTGGTGGCGGTCTATATTCACAATGTTGTGCAGAAGGGCAAGTTTGTTGCGGTTGACAATATGCTTGACACTCTGGGGGAAGTAATTCAACACGCTCTTCGTATTCTTGTTGAAAGTATTTGTCAACACTACCAGGCCCGGGGCCTGGTGGTAAAAGCCACTGTAAAGGTGGCGATGGCGCCCGTTTCCCTGTGCTGGAAGAAGGGGGTCCGTATAGGGAGGCACTTGCGCTGGATGCATTGCTTGCATCTTCAGCACGTGCTCCCGGCGACAAGGACGACTCGTGCTTATGTCGCCGCGGGGAGCATCCCAATGATAATTCATCGCCTGGTAGGCTGCCTGTAACAAAAATAATTACATTTAAATTTTGTATTTCATTACAGTAGCATTTTCAATGGCAGGTATAATTGACAGTATGAGGATATTTCGAAGCTCATTAAATGAGATAATTAAAATAGAACGTAGCTTTTTATTTATTGCTTAGATGTGTGAACGAGCTCACGGCCCACCTGATGTTAAGTAGTTACCGAAGCCCATAGAGATCTACAACGTAAATGCCGCCACCCACTTTGAGATATGAGTTCTAAGGTCTCAGTATAGTTACAACGGCTGCCCCCTCCCCCTCTAAACCGAAACGCATTACTGCTTTACGGCAGAAACAGACTGGGTGGTGGTACCTACCCGTGCCGACTCACAAGAGGTCCAACCACCAGCGAGCTTAATATCAGTCCCTTATTGAACAGCATTATTTGGAAAATCATTCTCGCTGTACCTAGATTTGGACAGTTAATTTCTTTAAACCACAACTTAAGTTGTATTTTATGAACTGGTGTATATGGTAGGTACAATATTATTTAAAACGAGCGGAAGGCAGCGCCGATAAAAATTGTCGGAAGTTGATATCGTATCAAGCATTCTAACAATGTAGACCAACAGTATTTTATGCATGTATGTAGGTACATTTCTGCACTATAATTTTAACCTTAATTATATCTTAAATCACGTCATATTCTTATAATTTATCGTACATATTTTGAGAGCAAAATTTCGAAAATAGTTTAAAATATGTATATTTAAACGACCTGGAGTGAGTTTTCTTGCATGTTTTTTTTTAAATATGTTGGTGGTGTTTTTTAATTTTATTATGCTTAAGAATTAATTACCTATAAATGGAAAACCCTAACGTTCATGAAAAAAATATATATTCCTTTTCATATTTCGTAGACACCGTGCTTTATGAAAGATATTTAAAAAAAACATGTTTATTACGAGTATTGGTACCTATTATGGTATTAAGCTATCGCTTAGTGTACGATCAATAATACTTGTCATTGTATCTGGTCGTAGATACCTACTTACCATTCGAATATTAGGTACCTACTGGTGTGCTTAGTGCGAGTTTTTTAACGTTCTCGATACCGTAAGTTAACTCAAATTTGTATGTAGTTGGAACAGCGCCCCTAGTGGCAAAGGTAGGCAAACAACCCAACTCCATACAAATTTGAGTTAACTTTTACGCTAATACGAACGATAAAAAACTCGCACTAAGCACACGGATCACCACTATTCCGCCTATTCCTGACACGAAACAGTCATGCCTTATCGTTTGAAGAGTGGACCAACCGTTATTCAATATAATTATATAACCGACTTCGACTTCAAGTCTCAAGGTGGTTGACAATATTCTCATTGCAATGGTTATGGGCCCCGGTAACTTGGTAAGCCGTGGGTGGGTGGGTTCGTTCGCCGTTTGTGAAAAATAAATGTTAAACGTGAGCTTAAACTTTACGAGTCGTTATAATATTTAATTCAACTGAGTAACTCTTGCTTTCTGTCCAATTTTAAAATTAAATAACTTTTAATTTATTTCTCACTGTAATTCATTAGGTATATATAGCAGTAAATATTCTCTTTAAATAAATGTAGTTTCTTACTGAGCGGTCGTAATTTATAACATTTTCTTGTGTCTCCCATGGAAACACCCATATTTAACATTAAAATTGAAATTTTTGATTGCAAAAATAAAATCTAAGTAGGCGTGTCTAAAATTATTCATTTCTTTAAATACCGAGTTTTAGATACTTGCTTTTAACCATAAATCTCTTAAATACCTGTTTTAATAATCCAATAACAATAGTTTGACAAATTTTCACATAACACAGATGCGGTGGCTAACAACGCTCTATGGAGTGATACCGGGGAAGGCTACCCGTGAATGAAGACTTCATTCACCCCTGCGTATCGACCCGAACATATGACACGAGCCGAACTTTCACTAGTAGGTATATCTATCAACACTGAACCTTGCTGAGAAAACTATTGTAGGTCCCTATTCGTGTAATTTTTTTCTTTATATTTAGAGAAAGAAAACTTGTTCTTGAACCTGGAGGCTGAAGGACGTTGAAGGACACAACATCACAGAAAGCGCATTGTTTATTTACAACGTTATCGGTCGGCGGCCGGCGGGGGCGAACCCGCCTACGAATGCCGACGGCGCGGCGTACGTAACTGTTTCCATCGCGAAATGCTGGATTTGAACGAAGGCGCACCTGATATTGGCGGCGGTTCCAGTAGATTCGGGAAAAAAGCGGGCAGATCCGATGTTGTCACTGGAGTGTTGAGGTCTGACGTCGTATTGCCTGATGATGGAACCGCTGTCGGTTTTAGTGCACAATCAAAACCGAGAGTACCGACGTCGGCCAGGGAGAGTAGGTGCGGACCGACCGGGGGCTCGGTATCCGTGCCCATCCCGTCCGGCACAACCTGCTCCTCGGCCCACGGGCCGAGTGGTATTACGAACAGCGCCAGCGTGAAAACGGCCTCTCACGCGGCCGGTGCGAAGGGGACTAACGCCGCGCGACCCCGCATCGCATTTTTATCAATGGAGCCACGGTCCCATATTCGGTAGCGGCGCGCGCATCTCCACCAATCGTGAGGCGCGTTGCCCCCCCTGAGGCTGACGTCACCACCTGGTACCGCCCACCGCCCGCGCCGCCCCCCCGGCCTCCGCCCCATGCAACTACGTCTTAGCTTACGAACTCCCGCGAAGCCTCCAGCTACTCTATATAATTTTTCACATCCGTTCGGATTATAATATTTTTTGTAAATTAANCGGTAGCGGCGCGCGCATCTCCACCAATCGTGAGGCGCGTTGCCCCCCCTGAGGCTGACGTCACCACCTGGTACCGCCCACCGCCCGCGCCGCCCCCCCGGCCTCCGCCCCATGCAACTACGTCTTAGCTTACGAACTCCCGCGAAGCCTCCAGCTACTCTATATAATTTTTCACATCCGTTCGGATTATAATATTTTTTGTAAATTAATTACGTTTCGTCAGAGTAATGTTTCTAGCTCTTGAAAATAAGAATAGTTAGGAGAACGTTATGCTTTGAACTATATCCAAATTATTTATTATTTATTTTAGCCTTAAGACTGCCCTTTGTACTTTTGTGTTGGATTACGTAGTGCTTTAAATGATTTATTTTTCATGGTGTGCAATTAAGTTATTTGCTTTAAGTATTCTAATAGGTGAGCGACTAAAAACTAGGATTAAGTCATAGATACTGCACTAACCTCCGTAAGAATCCTCCTCTTAAAATACCTACTGTTTGGGGAATAGGATAATTTGCACAGCAGGTACCTAACCTACCTATTGCTTGGATGTAGGTAGGTATTTGCTGGCACTGTTGACAGTTTTAGGCAAGACGTCTGCAACCTCAACCTTTCTTGACGAGCTTATTTCTGATATGTAATAATGTATGTACCTAGTAGTAAATGTAGTAAAGTGTAATAATGTTAAATGTTATAATGTCATATTTTAGAAACAAAAAATGAGACGCTTGTTTCACTAATGCGTGCAATCTGTAGACCTGCGTTAGCATTTAGTGTGAGATTATATTAATGTATGTGCTACTTGTAATGTTTTGTGTAGATTTAGGACCCGATAAAATGGTAGAAAAACCATTGATCTTTTAAAATCACTGGCGTGACATCGAGCATTGATGATTGGTACTATGACATAAACATTCTTTGAATTCCTAAAAACAACGACATCGAGTTTAATTACAATGTTGGTGAATGAAACAAATATACAAATGGCTAAGGCATTTCTAGGTAATTTTTATACTTTATAGTTTGTATGTTGTGACATACAAACGTGTAGATAAAATTAAGGTGAAAATGTAGATAAAAGAAGATTTATATTTTTGTGCATTTAAATAATATTTTAGTTTCAGTTTTTTCTCTCCAACCTGATGAATCTGTAATATTTAATGACTAAATTTAAATTCTAACTCCAGGTATGAACAATAACCTATACGAATGATTTTCAAATTATCATGATTCATTTGAATAATTAATAACATAATAACTAACTCAATAAATAAATAAATAAAATATTAAAATTTTTCGCAATTGGTTATAGTCTTGACTACATGATTATATTAAGTTCTGGCCATTATTGCGGACAGAAAATGGTATTACTTAATGGTAATAATATATATTTTTTGAGTTTTAGTTTTCGAAAAGATAGCATACCTATCTTAATGCATTAGGTACTTTAAATATTCATAATCCATTTATTTACTATTTTCAATTGGACTTATAAACCAAGATTTACATAATTTTATTGTTTAACTCTACTGACTCTCTCTTTATTGTCTAACTTAATGTCTACTCGGAATGTATTCTGTGAATATTGATTTAATACCGCCTTTTGTAACAATTTGTCAACAATCGAGTGTGATTAAAATTGGTGCAAATTAGTGGATGTAGGTAATACCTAAATATGTTAGACGAATTGTTTAAATTTATTATGTTAATTTATTTACGAGTCCACCGCTTTATTAGACTAATAACAGTAATTGTTGTTGTAATGAATATGGATGAAGGAGGTTTAGTACAACTGTAGAGTATAGTGTTCGGGCAGTGAACAGCTGATTAGGACAATGGCCTGCAAAGCGCGTGGTGGTCGGTCGAGCAGGCGAGACACGCCGACGCCCGATTGGGCCCACATGCAGTCGTTCGCGCTAACCCAATTATCGCGTAACGGAGACGATAAAGAAAAATAACAAACCCACGATTTCACCGCCATCTAATTATAGCGCGCTATTTGCGGGTGCGCGGGCGCAAGCGGCATAGCGTGGCCGCGATGTCAGGGCTATTCCTGGCCGTCAGCTGACGCTCCCGCGCCGTCGCCGCTCGTAAACACCACACAACCGATTGACGTAAAATGCGAACAATCGAGTTTTCAGCAGGTGAATCACGGGATGAAAACGTCCCTGCGGGAATCGTTCTATAATTAACTTGACTGCTTTTGGTTCGGACTCCGGAGGCGGGGTTC